GTGTGTGTGTGTGTCCTTCATATCCAATAAAGATTTGGGCTCAATGCAAATAAAGCAAGATCATAATGGAATCTGTCCTGCTCTGCAGAAAACAGCATCTGCCTGGGTATCCAAGTATAGCTGCATTTTTTTCTTTCAGTAATATTTGCACTCTCCTGTGCTTTGGTGTTTCTCAATGAACTTATTTAAAATTTTTTTTCAATAAAAACTTTTGTTGATAATTTTTGAAGAGTTTGTAGATCTGTGGATCCCTCATTAAAGACACTTGTGCTACCTGTGCACTTTTTGACCATCAGTAACTGCAGGTGCCAGCCAAGTTCAACTGTGTAATTCCATGAATAAAGTAACATAGTAGAAAGCCCTAGATCCCATGCTAAGTTTAATTCTTCATTAATTGTAAAAGTTTAAAAGGCAGAGACAAAGTTTACCTCATAAGGACCCAGTGAATTTTTTTGAATAAATTAGCAAAGGTTATGAACTATTGTAGAAATATTTGCTAGCCTCTTTTCCTTTCAGCTGGATTCTTCAAGTAACATGCACTTAGTTTTAAAGTTCACATTTCCAGGAGATCCCAGTTAGAATTACAAATTTTCAGAATCAGCAGACTTTATACATATTTTGGTCTCTTATTAAAGTTCATTGACAGATATATCCTGCTGATAGATGATCTACAGAGACTTGTATACAGAGATATGATAAATTGTGGTATAAAGGTGTATTAAGAATTGTAATGCAAAAAATAATAATGATGATGATAGAGCTCATGTAAAAATAAATAAATAAATAAATAAATTTATTCCTGCCTGGTAATTCACTGGGATCTGTTGAGATCATCTGCCTTTAAAAAAAAAAAAAAAAAAAAAAGTCTTACAAAGTTCATGTGATACATATTTGTTCAAATCATGTGCATAATTATATTGCTTAAAGGCCAAAGATAATATGTTTGTAAATTGTTCTAATGTTCCAAGCATTATACAAGTCAAAGCTTATCTTCATTTTCACTTTAAATTCATGTAGAATTATAAGTAACCCTATCCAAATTTCTAATTGTTTCAGTTGGCAGTAAGTCACAATAATGTGTTGATCACTTTTGGACTTAAGTTGTTTATG